CCCTCACACCGTGCCCTGCGCTGCCTGGGGGGGGTGTCTGGGTATAATGACTGTCCCCCCCCACTCACACCGTGCCCCGCGCTGCCCGGGGGGGTGTCTGGGTATAATGACTGTCCCCCCAGATGCAGTGTCCCCCCTCCCTCACACCTGTGCCCTGCGCTGCCCGGGGGGGGTGTAATGACTGTCCCCCCCAGACGCAGTGTGTCCCCCCTCCCTCACACCGTGCCCTGCGCTGCCCGGGGGGTGTCTGGGTATGTGACCCCCAGACGCAGTGTGGTCCCCCCCCTCACACCGTGCCCGCGCTGCCCGGGGGGTATATGACAGTCCTCCACATGTACTGTCCCCCCCAGACGCAGTGTGAGAGCGCGCGCCGAGGAATTCCCGCCCAACGCCCCAGCTCTTCCCCCGCCCCCTCCCTCTCTGTCAGCTCAGCTCGCCCCGCCCCCTCTGTGAGCTCTCCCCCTCCCCATTGGCGGCGGCGCGATATTGAAATCTAAATACCGCGCTGTGATTGGCTGAGGCGGGCTCGGGTTCCATATGTAAATAAAGCTCCCCCTGCTCGCTGGTGTGAGTAGCGGCGCGCGGCCCCATTATTTATTTATTTACCTCCTCCTTCAGACAAAACGTAACCTTCCGCGTCTAGATACTACTAGTAAAGTAGTGCGCGGTGCAAACAAACCGTTGGCCGGTCCCGCGCGCCGCCCCACCGGCACCATCACCACCTCAGCGGGCAGGGCGGGTCCCAGAGAGCCGGGCACGGCCGGTACCGAGCGGATTGTCGGCCCCCATTCTCCCGCACTCTGTGAGGTGAAGGTAACCACCACCCCTGCCCCGCTCGCCGTGACGCTGCTGGGCGGAGGGATATCACCCGGTGCCTGTGGCTGGGACCAAAACTAGTGCGAGTTAGGAGGCTGCCCTGTCAGTGACTGAGCTCAGTGCGGGGAGCGGAGGGACGGGACTCACACACACTGAGAGAGACACTCACTCACACTCATTGAGTGAACACACACAGAGAGACTGGCTGCACTCACTGAGTGAGCACACTGAGACACAGGCTGCACTCACTGAGTGAGGCTCGGAGTGCCCTTCCCTGGCTGCCCTGGAGTGAGCTCAGAGTGTCCCCCATGGACTGATTGCCATCACTGCCCCCCAGGATTGTCTATCCCCCCCTGGACCTGCTGTGTATTATTGATTGATTGATCCCCAGTGATTGTGGATGTGGGGAGCCCTGAGCTGTTGATCTACCAGTGAGGAGGACCCTGCCTGCCCTGGGAAAGGGGGGCACCCTGTATCCATTGGACATTATCTGGATTCACTTGAGATATATATTATTTATTTTTTTTGCTCGGTTTATTTGACTGAAGATGCTCCTGTCTAAATTCGGCTCCCTGGCACATATCTGTAACCCGACCAGCATGGATCACCTGCCGGTGAAGATCTTACAGCCAGGTACAGCCGGTGCCCTCTCTCTCTCTGCATGGCACATGGAGGGATTTACTGCATGGATGGGTGGATTGGTGGAGGGATGGATGGGGAGCAGGGTGTGCTCCAGGGATCCATCACCCCCTTCCAAGGGTGAGACACAGTGCTCACCGATGGCCTTTTTTATTTATTTATTTTTTTTAATTCTCCTTATAGTAAGGGAGAGGTGCTGCATGGCTTGGTTATGGGGAGGAGAAGCCTCTGATTCCATAATAATTGGGGTTTTCCTCCATTTTTTACAGTGAAAACCGAGAAGGAGACGTTTGATAAGGTCTACCAAGTGGGCTCTGTGCTGGGCAGCGGTGGATTCGGCACTGTGTATTCCGGCAGCAGGATCTCAGACGGTTTGCCGGTAAGTGAGGGCTCGGGTGGGTCTGCTGGTGGCTGCTGACAGCAGTGCGGAGGAGCCTGTGCCAGCATTCTACGATTAGAACGTTGTGATGTCACTTAGAACCCTGTGTCTTTCTCCCCAGGTGGCCGTGAAACATGTATCCAAGGAGAGGGTCACGGATTGGGGGTCTCTGGTGAGTATCTATTATACATGATCTGTTCCTATAGTAATTGTGGGGGGTGATTTTCCCGGGAAAGCTGGAGCGTGCATAGCAAAAAAAAATTGTTTGGGGGAGGAGAAGGGGAATATTTGGCGGGTTTCCCCTCCCATCACTACCCAAATGCGGTATCCTAGAGACCTCCACTGTCTGTTTAATGTCAGCCCCCCCCGTCACTGAAAGGGTTAAGTGGTGCAATCTTGGTTAGGTTTTGCAGGGTGTTGCACGAGGAATTAATGTTTTATTTTAATTTATATTTTTATTAGAATGGAGTGATGGTGCCCTTGGAGATCGTCCTCCTTAAAAAGGTGGGCTCTGGCTTTCGAGGCGTGATCAAGCTTTTAGACTGGTATGAACGTGCTGATGGCTTCCTCATCGTCATGGAGAGACCCGAGCCGGTGAAGGATCTGTTTGATTACATCACGGAGAAGGGGGCTCTGGATGAGGACACAGCACGGGGCTTTTTCCGCCAGGTGCTGGAAGCGGTACGGCACTGCTATAGCTGTGGCGTGGTACACAGAGACATCAAGGACGAGAACCTGCTGGTGGACCTGCGGACAGGGGAGCTCAGACTCATAGATTTCGGCTCGGGAGCCCTGCTAAAGGACACTGTCTACACGGACTTCGACGGTAGGTTCCCTAGCCTGTCCTCGGCTGACCCCCGCTCTTTTTAATAAGTACGTGCTGTGGTTACAGTGTTCCAGCCATTGCCTGGTATGCGACAATGTTTCTACTAGAAGCCCCTCCCATGCTGGTCCTAAACACGGTGCGGGCAATTCCCCCCCAGTGACGCACTAACTAGCTTCCATCACGGTTTTTTCGTTGTGTGGGTGGGGGGAGACCGTGTTTTTTTTTTTTTTTCCCCCCATTCATGGTCACTGGAATTTCTTTGCTATTTTTTTATTCAAATAATTTTTTTTAGCCATTTTGAAGGTAATCGCTGCATGTGATACGTACATCTGCAATGCAGAGCTGATGGCTGCAATGTCTGGATTATGTGTAGCAGCAATGTGATTTTTTTTTTTATTTTTTTTTAATTCTATATTTCAATTAAGAATTTGATAACTTATTAGTTAGGACAATCATAAAGGGAACTGGAAATTTAATAACATATAGTTAAATATAAACATTGTCTTGGTGTTTAGCATAAAATGTGTAATTTCCATCTAAATATACCACAATTCCTGCTTCAGTGAATAGCCCTGATCTGTGTTTGTGCAGATGGATGTCTGGCTTTGAATGATTTATTTATATTCTAGTGAGTTTTCCCTCCTGTAGCCATAACATTCTGCTGTAGGTTTTCCTTGGCTTGAGTGTATGTAGTAGAGGTGACTGGCTGAAGGCTGCCTTATTTCACATCTGTTTGTTGTGAAACCTGAAGCTACAGCCCACGTGACCAGGCTCTTTGCAGATTCCAGGTTTTGTTTGGTATCTAAGGAACAGAAGAGAACCCAGGGAGATGTGGCTGATGGAGTCTTTGCACACAGCTCATGGGGGAGGGGAGAAATCTAACAATACCAGCGCTTTTGCTTGGAAAATGTATCGGATGGGCTGCACAGGCAGATAGGGTTGCTTACCTCCCCCCCTCCCTCTGCACACCCACCTTTTGTGTCTATTTTTGGAGTGGTGCAGCAGACGCCACGTGGTCCTTGTGAAGAAGCCTTGTTAGTAAACAATGGATGGATACAGTGATTATCATAGCAAGTGGTTTAGAGCGAGTTTGTTGCTGCAGTGCATTGTCTATATATTTTTGATTATTGCAATTTTTAAAAATTTTATTTAATAAATGTCATGTCCTATCGTTTTTCTGCAGGAACACGTGTATATAGTCCTCCAGAATGGGTCAAATACCACAGATATCATGGAAGATCAGCAACTGTCTGGTCATTGGGGGTTCTTCTTTACGACATGGTTTGCGGGGATATCCCATTTGAACAAGATGAAGAAATTTTGAGGGTTCACTTATACTTCAGGAGAAGAATTTCTGCAGGTATGCAAACAAAATTATTTTTTTTTTATTTTTTTTTTTGTGTGTGCTTATTACTAAA